CGTTGTTATGCGTTGTTGATGACTATCGGAAATCGTATGCACCCTGTTTGAATGAAACTCATTAACGAATGTCATGTGTAAACTGAAGTTGACCATGAACAGGACAAGAGTAGTTAGTGTACGGTTGAAGGGATAATAATTGTTGTAAATCACCGCGTTAACCTTTTTTATTTCGTCGGCAGCATGTATCCTTTGCACAGGGTATTTGAAAGCCATAACGCTGCATACCGGACAGCTGTAATAGGGCTGTGTCACGTTATCAATACATAACCAATATAGTGTAAATCCTTCTGCATACTCGTTGCGGGCTATATTATTCTGGTTCATTCTGACTATACCTCAGGGTCTTTTTGACAAATGGAACAAGGGACTCAGACATCCACAATATACAAATATGATTGATGAACACTTCAATCTCTGAATGCTTCGTAGTTCGAATGACCCTTTAAGATCTTTATTGTCCAGTGGAAGACTCACACTGTGATTCTGCGCTCGCTAGACTGGTGGTAGTACCAAATCACATTCGATTCTAAGCATTCTTTAACTTGATATCTTGCACGGTAATTCCCAAACATGCTGTCTACAAAGTATGTGCATCCTAAGTTCATGATTACATGAATGACTTTCAGACAGATTAGTAAGTTGATTGTCTTGGATAGCACAGAGAATGGGAAGACAGAAACTTATTGGTGTGTTTGTTCGTGCGCTTGCGTGCGTGCGTGGGTTTCTTCAAACACCTCCACAAACTCAGGGAACAGAGCTAGCACACTTTGTGTGGTACTAAAATGACAAAACACATTCAAAAATAAAAGAACGTTTTTTGACTGATCTGTCAAACTTATCACTATGTTTTTCAGTATTCTTCACTAAAATAGTTAAATGGGCGTGTAACAAATATTGAAGTGCATTCCTAAGGTGCAGTAATCTGTAAAGTGCCTTCACAATTTGAATCATTAGCCGTAGACCCTATACATTCCTTCTTCCTTTTAGCTTGCAATCTTTAATTAAATTTGAAAATGAGATAATGTTCAGGAGGGTGGAAGCGGTCAATCCTAGGGCTGCCATACAACACACAAATGGAGACAGTCAGGTGGTGGTGGTGGGATTCGAACACTCGTCCTCACGGGAGCGATAACTTGGTGAACCTTTACCACTTGATCATCAAGATGGTGGCAATCACTACATGCATAAAAACAAACATTCTCGAGGGATATTAATCTCCTTACAAATACTGGCACACTGATTTCGTTGAATATAAAAGAAATTGGACTTATGTTCACATCGAACCACTTCCACAAGACATCAACTAAGTCATCGCATTTATGCGCTTGTCGATTAAGTTGCCTCCGGGCTTGAATTACATGTCAAAACCTTTTGAATGTTTCATCTGGTTTGGTTAAGGTGAGACTACAAGACGCTTATTCAACAAGCGGCCCACATCAAGGTCAACTTTCGAAGATCACTTAGCATGTTTCTTGGACTGTTTCAGTTCTTTCAGTATTGTGGATAATGAGTTAATACTGTATAGCCAAATTATTTATCAATTTATAAAAGCTATAATATTTTCATTAATTTGCTTATTTACTATGCACTGGATAAAAACCGATAAGTAATTTAGTGTACGTGTGCTCAACTTAATAAGCACTCTCATGGAACAGGAATCATTCATTAAAAAGAATGAATTGCCATGCTACTTGCTTAAAATATTTTCGAAACCGTAGCTGTAACTTTCGAACTGCTTCAAACTTTATCGCAACACTCAAGGTAGTGCAAATTCAAACGGTGATAGAACAGAACTAAGAACATGGATGTGGGAGATAAAATCAGGAATAAATACACTCTACCCATAACCATCAATATACAAGACTGAAATGTATTTCCAAAATGAGAGTGATGTTGCACGAGTTTGATCAACACTTGAATAAAGAAACTCTGCGGAAGCTAAATATCACTGGCGAGAAAACATACAAATTATAAATGAACTGATAGTTTATAGCAGGAAATTGCTGCAAACACTCGTATCGATAGGATGATATGAGCCAAGGGCTACTAGAACGTTGAACAAAATAGCAAATTCTCACTCTCAAAAAAGATGAATATCACTGTTTCGTAAATTTCACACGGAACTCAACCCTCCTTCTCTTTTGCTTTCATTGAGGACTACTTTAAGACGTTCCACCATATAGCTTCCCACCCTCCGACAGCTAATTAGGAAGAGTTTCGTTTCAGACTGGACGAGTAACCAAAACGGTTAGAATCGCAACGCAGATGAGTAAAAAGAGTTCTGGGTGATCAATGATTCATCCTTGATTTACCCGGGCTGCTCAATTTACGAATGGAGGCATGGTATGACAAATTGAAGAAACAGATGGAAAGCGCAACTATCCACAGGGAGAGAGAATGGAAGAACGGAAGACAGCGTGGTCAAAACTGACTCATCAAGGGAAGGGTTAATCCATACGTTTTCACGAGCGAGTTTACTACAAGATCCTGTAGCCTGAAGGATGGTGTCCATTTGACTCATGAGTTATTTACCTGGGAGTTAAGTCTATTAGAACTGAGAATGCATCATGCTATTGCCTTTTTTGCTCCGGGGAAATGAAGGATTTTATTCGAGTAATTTCTTACTTTCGCCGCGTACAGACGAAACGAAGTGTTAACTGAAACACTGAGGAGCACTGTGCAACCGTTTCCATCTGGTTGGGTTTCATCAGTACTGAGAACCCATCGAATCAACTAAAGATGTAACTGGGCCCCTCACAGCGAGAAAACAAACACACTGCCAACTCGACTATCAGATAGGTGATCAAACTTCTTTTTTCATTTTGTCCGGGGGTGATGTAACCCAATCCATCGTTGTTGTGAATATCTAACCTCGATCGTTCTAATACTAACCACCTGGAATATGATCACATTTTATGTGAACAATAACACAGGAGTTGTCGTCCGTCTGATGGTGAAATTCGGAGGACAATGCGAGAAGCATAAACTCTGTGAAAATACGTTGACAAGAAACAAAAGGATTATGATTGTTATTTTAAGCAGTTTCACTCGAGGATTGGTTACTTACTGATCTTGACAGTCAGACTGGAAACATTTCCCCGTCAGCTGAGGTGACATAGTTTCGGTGTAACTGATACTCACCAAACTGATGATAACCCGTTCTCACCGTGACTTCCAAGCTGGACGAAGTGTAGGACACCAGGCGCATTTTGTAAACTATTGAATCTTCTCTATTAGACGATGCCCAAATGATTATTTAGGTGTACATATGCGTTGGTCATATGGGCAGTATTTTGGAACGTAACAAAACTATCTCTAATTATTGACGAGGATAATGTAGAACAAGTCCCGGTATTCAAGGATTAAAATAATAATTCAGCACTTTGATAGATTGCGTAATATACCTCAGACTATATTATTATGAATTCAATCAGATTTTGTGAATCATTCACCGGACTTTGGCCGCAGAAGTGGTCAGAGCTCAGTTCTCTCGTCCTACATTTCGAATGTTTTCGAGAACTGCCTCAAGCGTTGATTGTAGACGTCTGTGTATCTATGATTCAAGTTTTCCAATGATTTGCAAGTGAAGAATATGGTCTTGCACAACGCTTGAGTCCTGCCAATGTCTTGATCTATCCCACCCATTATCTTACAAGTAGAAACCAAGTACACCAACCAACTTAATTACCGAACTGCTGATCAGACAGTTTCATTTGGTAAAGACACGATATAGTATAAACAGTTTGTGAGGTTGTTGCGAGCACGCATCCTCGAGCATTTCGACAGTAGCCTCCCGGGTCACATTGCAAACTTGCTTACTTGTTATGACAGAGTAGTGGAAGGTTTGATTTTATCCCCCATCATAGCCGTTTCCGCTTTGTTAGGAATCACCAGCTGTACACATCGGTGGAATCTGTTG